TCAAGGACACTTTGAACAGAGAATCCGTAATGCGTGAACCATTTTTTAATGGGACCAGAAGTATGTGGTCTTGCGTTATCTTGCTGGAATCTAAACGTTTTCTTGTCCAGCCAATATTACTCGATAGTGTCTAGCAAAGATGAGTCCAGAATTACAACATAAACTTCTGAGTTAACAGTTCCTTCGGCAATGGTGGAGCCATAGCTGGGTCCCTCCGCTGTTATCATGCCCCAGAAAACAACGCCACCACCATCTCCCTGAACTTGAGCCTCAGTTTGATGAGGCATCAACTCAGTGGGCCTGTCAGTTCAGTAGAAAGATTCGCCGTCAGATCCCCACATGTTGACCCCGGTTTCATCGGAAAATTCCCATTTATGCCAATCGTCCGCAGTCAAATGTCGATGTCTCTTGGCCCACACAAGACGTTTTTTCCGTTTCTCCGCAGACACGAAATTGATCTTTACCTTTCTTTTAGCCTTGAACCCTTTGCGCTTGAGTATATACTGTATATTCCTCAAAGTCATCTGAACTCCCATATGAGCAAGGTAGCACTGCACACCCTTGGGGCCGTCTAAATTACCATTGCGGAGATTCCTCTCAATGTAGTTCATATTTTGCGTAGTGATTTTGCTGCGTCTTCCGGGTTTGGCATGTTTTGAATGACCAAGAAACCTCTTCCTATAGCGAGAAAGTACACTGACGGACAAATCTGGGAAGATTTTTTGAATGGCACGGAGGGAACAACCTTGGTTGAAAAGAGCGTTGACAGATCCTTGAACCTCCTGAGGAATGGGACGTGTCATGTTAAAATAAGCGATGAAGTAAAGATGGTAAAATATAATGAGGGAAAAGACCAAAATCTCAGGCTTCTTTATACTTTTTTAAGCATTCCTCGGATAACTAACATTTTAAACATTATTGATATAAAAAATTACGGCTCTCAGATTACTTTCGTGGAATGTATACAAACAATAAGGTCATCAAGCGATATTTCCAATTTTACAAAATCGAAATGTTTTACTTCACGTCAGTTGCACTAGCTCAATATCTACTGTATCAATTATTTTAGTAGCTCATTTTGTGGCTAAAACCCCAAGGTTTCGTAGTCTTACTTTAATTTTAAAACTGAAGAAAAATTGACAGAGCTGTAAATGTAAAACTACGAATTGGCAAAACACTGGAACGTTTTTTTCGCGCACTGTAATTCTCAAATTTAGAGTAAAAGCGTCGATAACTTAGGGATTGAGTTTCGTACAATGCAGAATATTAGGGGCATTAGACAAAACTGTAATTTACTTACTTCTTTGGCAGCACAACAAAATACGCCTTATTTTTAGGCCAAATTCTGTCCAAATTTAGCCATTTTGAAGCACAAATAACTCATGTCACAAAGCGTTTTGAGCGCTTGAAATAGCTTCACACGCCTTCTCTTGGCCACGCTTTACTTGCTGATGCTTTATCTTAAATTTTTTTTGGGTCATTGCAAATTCATGAAAATCACCGTTTTTTCATGAGTGCTAAGAAGGGAAAATTCTTGAAAATCAAACAATCGCATTTTTCATGTCAAAATGAAGATTTTTTCTATGACACATATTAGATAAAATTGGTTGTAAAGATGAAATGCAACATTGGAAACTCTTTCTATTAAACTTTTATATGCTAAATTCTGACATATTCACGGAAAACCTGTTTTCATATTTTTGGAAATTGCTCATTATTTTTGGTCTAAAAGCTGAGAGTAATTAGCACCATTCGATGCTGCTTCTTTAATCCTCTAGAGATGTATTAGAAAGTTGGGTTTGACAACGACAGTTTTCATAGTCAAATTTGGTAAAAACGTTTAAAAGATGCGAGATCAAGTCCAGTTTGAACACGAAAATACCACTGCACAATTTCAAATTAAATTGCCGCAATTACTGCTGCTACGGTACAAGTCTGAGACCAAATATACTAGCCGTGACGTCGGATAGGGTGCCCTCTCATTTTTCCATGCCCTCCTTTTTTTACCCTTTTGCAAAACGCGTTTTAGTATCAAACCATGGTGGTTTTGGACATCGCTTAATTAATAATAACACTCTAGCTTCCGATAACACCGTCTTATACTGTTAGAAGAACTTAATACTGCTCTTTTAAAGTGGAATACATTAGGTATCATTCGATAACGAGCACTGGAAGACGTAGAATTAACACTAATTGAATTTGTTTATTAGGTTTAGATAATTTTTTGCTTGTTTGAATGAGTGCTGCTGCCATTACTTCTCTACCATCTCTGCTGCCTGCTTCTTTGGTCTTTGTCTGGTCTCAGCTGGTGGCGTTCGTTCTCTGGTTTGTCTGTGGTGCTGGTATTGCTGCTGCTGCTGCTGCTAATATGGTATTTCCTGGTCTACTGTGTTTGGTGCATGCTCGTTCTCTGGTCTATACTCGGTGATTGCATATCCTCTGGTCTATCTACGGTGGTGGTAAATGGTAAGTATCTTCTTTCTTCTGGTCGCAATGATATAAAACTTCTTTGAACGTTTGTATTATTGCTTCCTTTCTCATTATAATGCATTCATGATGTTTGCTTTGTTGCGTTTTTCTTCTTTTGTTGGTTATGTTGCTTTACATCCGACTATTACTATGCATGTCGCTCATGTACGTATTTTTGTTGTAACAACAACGAGCTGTTCTGAACGTCTCTGATGTTGTATTTGGTATACTTTTCTTTGATTCATTTTGTGTGAGTATCCCTTTTTTGCGTACGTACTTCTATACTCCTATAGTAGTAGTATGTTCTTTTCTTTCTTTTATTATCATTATGTTTCTTTGAAGCGTACCTTTTTTTTTACGTTGTGTGGATGTGCCTATCCCTGAAGCTCAACAAGACTCTATCCGAGGCTAGGAGGTAGATAGGCTGCCTCCACTTGGTTATCACTACTTACTTTAGTGATGATTGAGGGTCTCAATGCCAGTATTTAAAGCTAGGTGGTGTAAGTAAGGCATGCTCTAGCACCTGAGGGAAATTTGATGATAGTAACAGCTATATTGCTATATAGCGGCGCTTAAAATTTTGCCTCACATCAAAACAGAGGGAAACCCTCGCAATTTTTTTTCTAGGTCAGCGGAGTTTTCAAGCGATTTGATTGGCTGAGGGGTCGAAGTAGCAAAGGTCTACAACTAGTAGTTGATTTCCTATTGATCTATGATTAATCATGATCTTGTATTTGTAACAAAATGATATCCAAGTACAACAGTATATACAATTTCAATTCTTTTTTATTCATAACAAAGATACGGTGCATTTATCTAAGATAGCTTCCATTAAATAGCTTTATGTAAGGAATACCTATTTAAATTTACAATGTTGTGAGAAGTTAGACTGTAAAAAGTAGTATCACTTGAACACAGTGTTGTTTACGTTGTTGTTGTAGTTATAACAGTATCTAACTTTTAACTTTTGGACCATCTGGAATGGAGAGGAGGATGAAAGAAGCAGATGGATTATTGCTACTATTCTTTTTTATTCAAAATTAGAGCAATCTGCAATAAACTTATATTTTGCATCTCTATTTATATAATTTGGTTTATATCATCTCTTAGCTGACAGCAGTATAGTGGCGCCCAGTGGTTTCATCATTTAGTTATTGATCCTGTATGTAGATCAAGAACGGTGGTATCTTAATATACGCTCTGTGAGCCATGCGTGAATAACAGCTTTCATCGCTGAGTATGTATCTTTTTAAGGTATGTTTAAATTACAAAACATTGCGACGCCTTTGATACTTGCTTTCATATTTATCATCTCTTATTTCAGAAGAGAGCTTACCCTTGCCATCACCACGCAGTTGTTCACATTATATATGCTTGTCTTTTAATGATGGTAGCACCATGGCTCAGTTGAGATGACAATTATTTTGGGTATTCTATAGTGGGAATCAAGTCTAGGTCACTTCACCATCCGTAATCAAGCTTTGAAGTATTAATGCTAAAACTTGGAAAGTAGCAAGTTCCTAGAGGCAGATTTTGTAAAGAAAATGATAATAGGGTAATAGAATTTTTTGATTGGAAGAGTTGCTGTTGAGAAGAGATGGATGAAAATCTGGAAAAAGGCGATTTTGAGCAAAGGAAGACCTTTATATAAAAGCTGTTGAAAGCTGTTTATTGCAAGGAGTCAAACTAACATCCGTCATCCTGATATTTCCGTCGTTTGGCTGTTAGTCTTTCAGTAGACCGTGGTAATTCCAGAAACATGGCACGTTGTAAATGGCATTATTCTTTGCATTTTAAGCAATTGCACTGCAAGACCTATGCGTAGTCGAATCACTAATGAGAATGAAGTGCGCAAGCAATCACTGATATCTACAGGAAAGCTTTTTGTGCTAAAGATACATTCTGTTCTTTCCTGCTTCTTGCACTGCTGACATTAAGTCAGGGTTTGGTTTGTGATAACTGACTACTGCAAAGGTTTTTTTTGTTTACAAGCAGTGTATTGCTGTGAGAGTTGCTGATGACTTGCGAATTTCATCTAATAATGATGGTTGAGTATCGACAAGGCCCCAACCTGTCTCCTCTACTGCTAAAAGTCTACGGCAGCTTGTAGTAATGTCACTGCGTTCACCCAATCTAGCAGTAACATGTCTTGAGCGATTGAATCAGGTGAATTGGTGATTGCCGATCCTAGAAATGGCATCAATTTCAAATTATCGAGGAGTCCTCTAAATCCCGTCTGCTCCAGACGCTTAGTCGTACAGATAGCTCGAATAGGAAGCAGCAGGGAAACACGCATAAACAAAAGTGGAATGGGATGGAGACTTATTAAATTAAAGCAGAGACGAACACTGATCAAAAAGAGGGGACACCATAAAAGAGGATCGCTTTAGCTTCTTTTTTTGGTGATACAATGCGGATGAGAACAAGATGATGCAACAGCATTTTCCCGCCCGTATTTTACATGAAACAAGAATTCAAAGAAACAATGCAAGTAATTTATTCTGGCATACTCATGTATATGTGTGCTAATATTACAAGTCTAATGTAATGACCTGGGTACAGTCAGGAGCAGTAAAGTTGGACCACTGATTAAAGATCCAAAAGGCAATGCCGTTGGTCCACCCAAATCCAGTTTGAGTGACATATTCACCTTGCCCACCCGATAATCCAATGGTATTGACATCGAACTTTTCAAACATATGGCCATCATCTGTTACTGAACTGTTTGTTTTCTCAAGCAAGCCAGGAATAGATCCTCCCGTATTGACCCATCCACAGTAAGCAGAAGCAGCATAACGCTCAGCCAGGACACGCGCCAAAGTAGAGATGGGAGTGCCTCTGGTAGTGTTGAGTTGAGGACCTTTGTAATGGATGGTGCCATTCTTGAAACGGTCTTGCTTGTTGAGGTACTCATCGATACGCAGCATGCCCTCCATGGCCACATAAGAGAGAGGAGGCCAGCCGTTTGGCCAATCCCACTGCATGGTGGTGTTGTAGTAGGACGTGGTCAAGATACCAGGATACTTGCGAAGCGCGTTCTCGGCTTCATCGTACAGTTTAGCAACCTCGGTTCTGTTGTTGAGGATCTTCTCAGGCAGTGCACCTACCCACATGGGAAACAAATTGGCAGGCGTAAAATCGGTACTTTGGGCATTACTGGTCAAATTGAAATCATAAAAGGTATGGTTCTGGGGATTCCACATGAGATTTTCCATGGCAGTTAACCGAGCTTTTGCCTGGCTCTTGTAGTACTTGGATCTTTTCTTGTAGGTCTTGGTCTTGTTGCCAAAGCGCACGTACCACTCAGACAGCTTGGTCTCTGTATGCCACAAGAGGGAGTTGAGTTCGATGGGGATAATGTTGGCGGTATTGATGGTGCGTAACATCTCATAGCTCTCGGTTTGATTTGCTGCAGGAACCTTGTTCTTTGTCCAACGGGAAGAATAATCCCAACCAGATTCGGCACCAGCGGCAATATCGGCGTACATTTGCAACTTCTCGGCGTCAGTGAAATGAGTGCCATTGTTGACAGTGTTGTAATCTTCTACAAAGGACTCGGGACGAGGGGATGTGTTGGCGGTAACATAGTGATTCAAGGTATATTTCTTGGAATGCTTGGGGTCTCGAACTTGAATACTGGCATTGGTCATCCAATGGGCATATTCTTGATCCAAGATAGGCAAGGCCTTTGCCATGAAGTCATCGTCACCTGTCTTTTCATAGAAAGCTTGTACCATATGCGTCAAGAAGGGCGGTTGTGAGCGGTTGAGATAGTAAACACGAGCGCCGTTTGCTATATACATAAGGAGAATGTGAGATGTCTGCGTCGCTGAATGACATGCTGCATGTACTTACGAATGAAGCCATATTTCTGGACAAAATCAAAAAAGTTCTCAATCATGTTTCTTGCCAGATCAATTTGATCACCCAACAACAAGCCTTTGATGACAAAGTATGAGTCCCAGTAGTAAAATTCTCGAAAGCGACCGCCTGGCACGACGAACGGACGAGATACAGGCAACGTAGATGACACGCAATCTTCACACAAGGCAGTATCGTCAAATTCAAAGGTCAGATTACCCCAGGCCTTGTTGAGCGTACTGAGCCAGCCACGGTACTCGGGATCAGAGATAGAGTCTATCCAAGGCAGTTCAGGTATAGTGATATTGGTCAAGAGCTTCACTTCTGTTCCAGCAGGCAAGAAGTTTTCATTCAAAAACTGCATCACTTGCTCTTTTGTAGCATTTGTACCACCCAGTTGATTGAAAGACTCAATGACTTGAGCCTCAGACTTTGCAGTTGGCTATGTCATGCTGATGAGACTTTGTGTGCAGCGTATCAAACAAATAGAAAAAACACTTACCATGTCTACAAACGTCTTTGAATCAGCAAACACTCTAGCCAATTGCACTGTCTTGAGGATAGGGCCTTCACAGTAGATGGGCGAATCACAAGTGTATGAATCGTGATGCTGGATAGCATGTACAGATGCATATAAAGAGATATGAGTGATGAGAACACCACAGATCAGACGTAAACTAATCATGTCGAACGGAAATTATCCCCTTTTTTAATTCAATGTCAACAGATCCAAAGTACCCGAGGAACCTTGTTATTGATGTTATAAAGAAGAAGAAGAAGAAGAACGAAAAAGGGGAGAATTTAGTGCTCTCTTTATATAGAGACGAAAATCTCGTTTAACCGATTCGGAGAAACAGCGCTTTTGTTATGGTATTGACAACATGAAATGAGGGGCAACATGATGGACGGTAATGACGATGATGCTATGTCTGATGGGAAAAGCGGGTAAAGTTCATTAATACATGCTTGCTAGCAACCACGCCCTATTAAAACGGTTAGTTTCATATGTATCTCGAAATTCGATTCCCAGCTTCTAACAAAATGCATGCATTTGTACATGATGGGATCCCCCATTCCTAGCCAGCAGCACAACAAGAGAAAGAAAAGGATGTCGCTTATGCGCGGAACAATGTTGATTGGTTTACCGATATAAGGTTTATATGTATATGAATGGATTTCAGTAACATTCGCCATATTTCAATCATTTATTCCGATGTTTCCTGTATGTAGGCAAGGTGGTTACAATATATGCAAGTGCCTTGATAGCAAATGCTTTGTAGTGGTACGGTAAAACTAGACCTTTTTTTATCCCATAAATTTTAGTCGGCAAGCTTGTATTAAAATGTGGCATTGTATTTGTACAGTTGCCTTGGCAATTTATTGGAATTTTCGATTTTCCCCTGATTTTTTTTTTTTTTTTTTTTTTGGCACAGATCTTTTGTCGGTATCACAAACCTTTCTGATTGCTGCCTCTGCTTCTATTTTATGCCTTTTGTATTTCTCTTTCTCTTTTATCCCCTTTTTTTCTCCTCTTTTTTTTTTTTTTTTATCCTCTTCTCTCATTTCTAATACACGCATATACAAACAACATGAAACTACCAGCGGAAATCATCGAGTTAATAGCAGGACATTTACCCAATGATGACCAATACAAATGTCTGACTCTTTCCAAGCCTTGGTTTGAATCCGTCCATCGAGCCATGTACAAGGTGATCCACATCAAAAACCGACATCAATTCAGACGCTTCTTTCAGATTATCCAGGCCAAAGGACACCTTGTTCGCCAGCTTCATCTTTCGAATAGTAAATCAGCAAACAAGAAAATAGTTGGTATCACCTCGCTTGAATTGGATCAATTAGCTACCTACTGTCCATATATGGAAATTTTAGAATTTGATCAAAAAGTTTGGAAATACAGCAGAATGCCAAGCACTGCGAGATGGCATGATATGCGACAACTGCCAGCACTGAACATCAACACCGTGCTGTCACTGCCACACATAAATTACTCAAAATTAACACAACTCTCATTGCAAGGTGAACTCGTCAGCACGCTGTTTGATCAGCAACAATCAGCACTGATCAGGCTGTTGACCAACATACCCCACTTGCAGCATTTATACCTCAACAGCAAGCAAAACAAATCGCATGTGATTCATGTGTCTCTCCAAGACATGGAATCGATTCATAGAGCAACACCCCATCTTACAGATCTCGAGCTGAATGGATCATTTAATTTGACCATGGACTACACATCTCCATCTGATACATTAGATTCCACGCAACATCTCACACAAACACGCATTAGACATCTCAAACTAAAGGCTACGATACCCCCTCAATGGATCTACTACATGGCAAGAAAATACCCCCATTTACACGAGTTGGATCTAGAAGTACTGGATTCCACCATGACCGCATTTCATACAACAACCTATAAAAAGAATGCCTCTTCTCAACACCAACTGCAGCCACACTTGGCTATACCCTCTGCCAAGGAAGTTCAATTCCTGTTCTCGATGCTCCTGCAATGCTGTCCTCAACTCCGCAAAATGCAAATAGATAGTGTCACAGGTAAAATGTACATGACGGAAGCCTTCTTCGATACTTTGGCTACACACAAGCACCTCAAGGAGATCAAGATGAAGCACTCAACATACAACTTGGTGTCCAGAGATCAGTTTTTCAATCTGTTGGCAGCGAGAGGTCAACATGTCATCACGGGGCTGGGCACAGAAGTGATAGGAACAGACACCCATATTGCCAATATTGTGGATCCGCTGTCTCATTTCACAAAACTCACAGAGCTTGTCTTGTGCTGTGGTCATCCCTATTTCGATTGTGACATTAGAGCCGTGCTCAGTGGGTGCCAACAGCTGCTGAACCTAACCATTCGATCTGCTCATCTTATGCTGCCAAAGCAACAGGAGCACCATTCAGAACAGCAACACCCTCTGACATCACTGCATCTCAGCACCGTGTCATTCTCTACACATGTTTTTAGCTATTTAAGCCAGACATGCCACGCATTAAAGCAACTCTCCTTTTACGAATGCGACCAGCGAGACGACGCTGCCAACCAAATACACATCCACATGCCTCACAACGATTTCGATCTGGTCCTGATAAATGGCATTCGTCTCGATTCTGTACCACTCCAATGTCATACATGGTTACCAAACGCAAGACTGTTGACCATTGAAACAGCGAGCTACAGCAGGAGATGGTACCATGCCTACAATGGCAACAATTGCTACCATGAAACACCCAAGATTCAGAGATTGAACAAGCGAAAATCAGCCATTGCTGAACACTACTATCAATATGGATGGATCAACAATCAAAAATACCTGCAAAAGGCGATCAGTAAGAATGCCAACAAAATGCAGCAGCAATCGCAAGGCTATCTTTACTCGAGGACAAGCAGAGAATGGGAGCAGGATTTATTCTTTGGCAGCATCTCTATTCAATGCAAAACGATCAAAAAGTGGGAGTTGATCTGCAACACCACCTATCATGAATTCTAAACCATCAAAGAAATAAAGCGATCCTTGTTGTTGCCGTCATCCAGATTGTGTTGAAGTGTCTCTATTTCGTTGATGAACTGTAGTAAGGCGCGTTGTTCGGTGTGTCCAAATACAAAGCCCACAATCAGACACAGGGGTATCAGTAGGGATGTAAGATTCATGAGAGCACCATCAAAGACAGTGACCAAGATAATCGGCAATGTGCCATGGTAACTTAACGTTGTTGGTAGCACAACAATTAATATGTAAAATACAATTTGTAACAGTACACAAAGCGCAAACGCATAGAGCAATGTGTGAGCATGTTCTTTGGCTTTGTCTCGATCCTGCCTCAGTTCATCCAAGATCTCTTGTACAATCGATGGCTGTAAATGAGTGTAGTTGGGATGGCACAGCAAAGAGGGTATAGGTGCCATCTCCTTTTCTTGTTGTTGAGCGTGTGGTGATGGTGTGGTTGAAAAGACAGAGACGACGCCAAAATGATCTGAATAACTCATGCTTGAATCAGGCACTAGGCCTGTCAGCACTACTTTGGATTCAATGCATGTCAGCTGTGGTGAATGACGGTAAAATATGTAATCGAGTCTTTTTCCCAGCAACTTTTTGGCATTGGTGCTGTCTCCATGATCGTAATAGCGGGAGAAGGTGTTGTAGGGCGAGTTGCAAGTGAATCCAAAATATTGCGTATAGGCATCTTCTGTGATGTTGTCCATATCAAATTGAGTTGCATCCGGCTCTCCATGAAGTTGAAGCCATGAATCTGACATGAATCCATGATCTCGAATCAGTCGATAGTTGAAAGAGCTTGGTACACTGTTGAAATCACCCGACTAGTCAGAAAGATTAGCATTTGCTAATGAAGCCATACAATGTATATACACGTACCATCACAATCTGTCTTCCCATAGCAGCAGACTGTCGCAAGATATTGGCTAGTTGCCAGCACTCTGTGGCACGGTGCGCCGTGTATTGAGCTTTCGGCCCATACCCAGCATGTAAATGCGTGTTGAATACCTCCAATAATCCAATGGCTGGATGGTCGACGAGCGCTGATCCCACGCCTTTGCCGACATAATAATCGCCATGCCAAAATTTGAGGGGCTTTCCATTCAAGGCATAACGGTGATAGGAGGTGGAGATGATGGGAAATCGAGACAGAATAGCTAAACCACTGCCCAACGCACCACTGTAAAAGTATTTGGTGTATGGAAGTGTTTGTTTGACGGCTTCTTGAATGTATTCGAAGTCCTTCTGCACCCACACTTCCTGCAATGTAATGATATCGCAATTCTGGTGTTGCAGTGCTGTAGCGATGGCTCGTAATCGAAATTCTCGGTGTTTGGCCACTACAACAAGACCCCTTTTTCCAATGTCTGCCTGTCAGTATATCATGTTCACTCGCACCATGTGTAATAGCAGTTACCAGCAGTTGAAGGACAGTACATTCAGCGTATCGTTTGTCGTCGACATGGTGGATAATAAGAGTGGAAAGAAAAGCGAAACTTTATTTGGTGTGCACAATCCAAATCGCTTAAAACGGCAAAATTGCTGCTGTTGAAGATGATATTTAAATTGGCAAATGTTTGTACGAGCAAGAGATGTGATCATCCAATCATGATTTCATAAGCGAATATGCTCATTATGGAGAGGCGTTGGTAGCTGAGGCATAGGATGGGCTTGAACCAGGTAAATTCCAGCAAGACATGTAGAATGTATCATAGCAACAGATCCAAGAGAAAAGAGTGCATTCTTGGACGATCCCAAATATGAGAAGTACCCCCTCGAAAAATAAACTTTGGCATTTGCTAACCGTCCCAAATCAGGCCCACAACAACATCAACAATAGTAGTAAATGCATACAAATGCCGATATTATGCAAACAGAAGCACAGATAAAGTTACGATGCTGTCAACATGTCAACATGTATCCATTGGCTTGCTTCATTGCTTACTCCATGAATTCAAGTCATCAGGCTTGCCATAGCATCATCATGAGTTCATCAACTCAAATTCGATCCAGGGAAACACCACCATATCGTAATTGAAAGTGTCAGCAAACGACTCCGCTTACACATCAAATGAATGTCAAGGAAAAATTTTTTTTTTGCTCGAGATGTACCTTGTTCCTTTACTTTCAATCTATTCCAATGGATAGTCGAGGTATACCCATTGTCATTCCAGCAAAGAAATGCAACACCACACCCAAAAGAATCACGACGCCCAAGCGATACGATACACCATTGTCTCCCTTCTTTGTACGTAGTGTGAAGAACGAATTTTCGCTGCTGGATGCCTACGATGACTTTTACGATTTTCGCTTCTCCAGTCGATACCATCCAACAAGCGACGATATGCGACACAATGTGCGTGATCTGTATAAAAGCAACATGTTTACCGAAATTAGCTCCCCAAGGCCATCGAAACGAATGCGGTCCTCATTCTTTATGGATTCTGACATCATGGATGAAGAGCAGACTGAATTACCACATCTCGAAGCATCCAAGAAACCAAAAGATATCACTGTATCTTCACCTATGGAAGCCATGACTCCGTTAGCAGACGATGCATTAGATACACTCCATGAATCTCAGCCTGATCTCGATATCCACACACAAATCGCTGCTATTGCTACTATACCCAGAACAACCAGAAGATCGAAGCATGTACAGGAGGAGTCTTTGGTGGATCCAAGTCAACAGCAGGAACAGACTGTGACACCAAAATCCGTTTTAAAATATCAGAACCAAGTCAAAAAGGCACACCAAACACCTTTACCTTCTGACAATTCTGTGAATGAGATGCCTACTAGACAAAAATCAGCTGCATTGAAACAACCGCCGGCAGTGAAGCCGCCTGCCAAACCAACACATGTACAGCAGCAACAGCAAGCCCCTACCGCATCGCCTCAAAGATTAACTCGACGTCAGGCAAGGTTGATTGAGGAGAATGGCGGTAGACCTGAGTTTGCTGTGCCAGAAGCACTACCACCACCACCATCAAAACGGAAAGGCAGAGTACCCAAACGCAAGCAGCCTGCACCAAAACAAGAGGAAACCATTGAAATACCTCAAGAGAGACAGCCTTTGGAGAAAGCAATTGTGCAGCAAGTGCCACCTGTGAAGAGTAACTCTGAACAAGCAATTGTTGAGCAACAACAAGAACCTCAGCAAGTCGTCAATGCAGAGAATGGGTTAGATGTGGATATACATGTAGATGACGCACCTGAAGAAGAAGAAGCAGCAGTAGTAGTGATTGAAGAAAAACAAGAGCAAAAGCTTCAACAAGTCGTCAATGCAGAGGATGTGGCAGATGTAGACATGCATGTAGATGACGTACCTGAAGAAGAAGAAGAAGCAGTAGCAATAGTGATTAAAGAAAAACAAGAACAAAAGCCTCAACAAGTTGTCAATGCAGAGAATATCGCAGATGTGGCAGATGTGGGCATGAATGTAGATGACGCACCTGAAGAAGAAGAAGCAGCAGCAGTAGTGATTAAAGAAAAACAAGAGCAAAAGCTGCAACAAGTCGTCAATGCAGAGGATGTGGCAGATGTAGACATGCATGTAGATGACGTACCTGAAGAAGAAGAAGCAGTAGCAGTAGTGATTAAAGAAAAACAAGAGCAAGAAGCAGAATCCATCAAGGCCGAGAAAAGCGAAAAGGAGCTGCAAGAAGAAAAGCTGCGAGCCTACAGAAAGAAAAAAAGCGATGCAGAAATTAGAAAAATCCTGGAAGAATTTCCTCAAATAGCACAGTATTATCAATTGATTGAGAGAGCTGGTTCAGGCACCTTTAGTCGAGTTTATAAGGCCAAGGATCTGTTAGTCGATGAATACATGCCATCAAGTCAGGCAAAGAGGGTATCGGACGCACTGGGAGAAGATGACGCAGATGCAAACTATGTTGCCATCAAGTTGATTTTCGACATTAGTACACCCGAGCGTGTGGCGAATGAAATTCGATGTTTGTCCATGTTAGAGTAAGCGTGCTGTACCTGAGAGGGGCTTCCACTACGCGACATGTACTAACAGGCGCTTTATTGGTAGAGACTCTCCTGGTGTGACGCCATTGATCACTGCATTTCGCCATGAAGGCTTGACATTTGTGGTTCTTCCTTATATTCAGTTTGATCACTTTGATGTAAGCCATGCTGAAGTGGTGGTACGATGATATATTAACGCTTTGTAAATCAACTGTATAGGACTTTTACAGAGACATGACAGCGGACGATGTGAAAAGCTACATTTCTGAATTATTGATTGGCCTCAAAAGCTTGCATGAGAAGGGCTACATGCATAGAGATGTCAAGCCTGGCAATTTCCTGTACAATGTCAAATCGAAAGCCGGCTATTTGGCTGATTTTGGATTAGCAAGAGCTTCTTCTCTCAAAGCCATAAAACCACCAACAAACCCAAAAGTGAAAAATACACAATATACCCAAAAGGGAGATGAAATTGGTTATTATGCCTATGATTCAAGGTAATGTGTCTCGCTTTGAGATACAAAACAAGCGTTTTATTGACATGAACTTTTTATCAGATCATCTCTACAAGCAGACAGATCAGGTACAAAGGGATTCCGTGCTCCAGAAGTGATGCTCCGATACCGCTACCAAACCAGCGCCATTGATATCTGGGCAGTTGGTGTGATTCTATTGACGATTCTCAGTGGACAATACCCTATTTTTGAGCCTGAGGACGATGCGAATGGAGTCATTGAACTAGCACACGTATTTGGCATGAAACAACTGAAAGAATTTACCGAATACTATGGGCGTACTATACACACAAATATACCCACGATACCAGAGAACCCTGTCGATCTGGATTCTTTCTGTCGAGATTTCAACAAGACAGGTGTTGAGAAATGGGATCCACAGGACTATGCGTCTGCCGTTGATCTCATGAAGCAATGCTTGCAGCTTATCCATACCAATCGACCTACAGCAGCGGATGCGTTGAACCATCCATTTTTCACGTCTATGAAAAAGAACCATTAGCTAGTAGGAAACACATTGTGAATATTTATTGAATAATGATATGTACTGTATGTGTACCATGAAATGTCTATATTCTGTATAAAGTAAATCTAATGTACATATGAAAAATAAAGAGCATCCTTAAGTCTTTTTCCGATGTATAAGATACATGTACTTTTTTTTACATCTGATTTTTAGATTCATTGCTGGAAAAATTACCCTGTGGCACGAGGATCTGCATTTGAGTGAGCAGTTTGCAACAATTCAACCTGTGCATCAGATATATGATTGTGTAACAACTGTAAGAAAAAGTTGCGATTCTAAGCTATGCAATACCTCTCTTTCTTACTACTACTACTACTACTACTAGCTTCAAGAACATGAAATTGGTGAGGATCAATTTTGCCAGCAACCAACCCAGCCGCCAAAAATAGTTAAATCTCCGATAAACATTCTATCCTGATTTGATAATTTTTGCAACTTTTGGATCTGATTCGATCTCTTTTGTTAGATTCGACTATATATAATGCAACCATGAACGAATGCTTTCTAATGCGTCCCTGGTGGTAGGGCGAAGTGGTAGAACTCCCGTATGCCAACGGGAGGATCCCGGTTCAAATCCTGGTGAACGCAAGTTGTTTGATTTTTTTGGCGTAGTACTGATGTCCTCGTTTGGTGTTTTGTGCTCTTATCCATTATCTATATTTTGACGATTTCCGCAAGACTGTATTGGCTCTAGGTGTCGCACCTTATTAGTAGTAGATTTCTTTCCCAACTTAATTCAAAAAATATCTTATTCCCCTTCTTTGCAGACATTGGGTCCACCAACAGTCTTTTCTATCCCTCAGCATGACATTTAAAGGACTTTAAATAAAACCTGGAGCTCGACTCCCCTACAAAAAAAAAAATGCTTTCTAATGCATTTCTAGAGTAGTTTTCAAGGCGCATCCAATGCTGTAATTTCTAGCAAGTGTTTTGAAGAAACTTATTGAGCAATTTATGAAAATATGAAAAGAGGGTTTTGGTCAAAAAGTCGATATTTTACATATCAAGGCCCCACAAAGATGGCTTCAGGAGCTACGCTGGATCGATAAATACATTTTGATTCAATATATACCACAGTAAAAGCCTTCATTTTTGAGGTCAAAAACGCGATCGTTTAATTTTCGGTGAAAACCATGAGGGGTGCCTCATGCTTTTTGGCCGAATTTTGTCCATATTTTCTTGGTCCCCAAAAAGTTGGGCAAAGGTGTCAGTGAGCAACTGCTAGGTCAGAGCAACTGTTTGGTGCTATTCTGACAATCTAAAACGGCCTTGAACGCGAGAAAACGCGGCTTAAATGCACTCAGATTTTGCTGTATCAGGGACACTAAGGACTAAAAAGAGGAAATACCAGTATGCTGCTTGCCCGTATATAAAGTAGCCACATATATATGGGTGTATAGCATCACATAAGAATCAGATCTCAGATAATAAGAAGGGGTTTCATGTGTAAGTGAAGGGTCAAAATGAAAGTAGCATTATTCTGATAAGATACGCAAGGGCAATCGGTAGCGCGAGCTGCCGCTGCGCAGGTTGGTTCTCACCAAAGCAAAACAAAGGTAGAGAGCCATCCGAAGCATAAACACTCGTATGATATAAATCAGATTTTTCACTGTCTGCCACCATGCGAGGACCCCAAAATCGCCCTGCAACTGTGAATATGACTCTGTTACAACAGTCTTCATCTGTGCTGATGGATACAATTCAAATACGGTTAAATAATATGCTTGCATCACGCTCTGCTATTCAAAAGTATGCAAAACACGTAGAAACTTGGATGCGTTTGGGCTGTGTTTTCTCGCGTTCAAGGCCGTTTTAGATTGTCAGAATAGCACCAAACAGTTGCTCTGACCTAGCAGTTGCTCACTGACACCTTTGCCCAACTTTTTGGGGACCAAGAAAATATGGACAAAATTCGGCCAAAAAGCATGAGGCACCCCTCATGGTTTTCACCGAAAATTAAACGATCGCGTTTTTGACCTCAAAAATGAAGGCGTTTACTATGGTATATATTGAATCAAAATGTTTCTATCGATCCAGCGTAGCTCCTGAAGCCATCTTTGTGGGGCCTTGATATGTAAAATATCGACTTTTTGACCAAAACCCTCTTTTCATATTTTCATAAATTGCTCAGTAAGTTTATTCAAAACATTTATCTTACTTGGTACCATTGGATGCGCCTTGAAAAGCGCTTCAAGAAAGCTTAAAGAAGCATAGGATGATTATCATCTTTTTATAGCCGAATCTGCCAAAATCGTACGTAAAAGGACTTTAAATAAAGCAATACAATTGCCCTACAAAAAAAAAAAAGAATCTGCCAAAATAGTTCAATCAAGTTGAAAGAATACCAAAATTTGGCCAATCTAAGGTTGACCTAGAGTCTGAGTTGTAATTAATTTTGACAGCTGATGGGGCCGGCTGACAATCTCAATGCCCTTTTCATCATGAAGGCAATACAGTAATAGATGCCTTTGAAGCGTATGAAAAATAGGTGGCAAATTACATAACACTATTAATATCAATGCTATTTTCCTTGCATTATAGCGCCAGTCTATCAAAATACTTGTTAGATCAACTTCTTTCCTTTTTGAGGCTTTAAAAAGTGTCTAGGGACCATTATGTTATATGATACTATTATAGGGTGGTAAACAGCAATTGTGTCTGATTTCACTAAATACATACTTTTTTTTTACGAAAATAAGTGCCATTATCAATGAACTATATGCCACATCTAAGAAATAAACAATCGAAATAAACCAAATCTCTTAATATCATATGTGCGTTGCATAATATGCACTAGTTATGTGCATTCAGTTGCTTTTATTAACAATAAGTTATAATCTAATATGTATTGGAATGAACAGTGGATGAGAAGTGGGGGGGGGGGGGTATGCAAGATGATTTTATGATTTTCTTTTCTAGCTGTTGCTATTCATGAGTGATTTCAAGGTTTCGTAGGTTGGGAAAAAGATGCCGCAAATACCAAACCACCAAAAACTTCTAGGAATTGCACCAACAAAGAAGGATCTATAGATATTGATTGATCTCTGGACAGCCGAAGTACCAGTAGTTGAAGCCACCACATGCTTGGCCATCTCTGTCACAGACATGGGGTTTACTGCTTTTTGAGCAATCATGCGCGTACGTAAAACGTCCATGGGTGTTGTGAAATAACCGGCCAAAAAGCCGCTGATGCCGCCATACATGATACTACGCATAGTAGGAATATCAGCTTCTAATTCCTCGAAAGCAGCACCTGCCACCATCTGCTTTTGCTTGGCTCTGTATTCTCTTGTCTTTTCTAAAGCTTCTCTTACTGAGCGATGATGAAATGCCTTGAAGTTTTCGTAAGATACTAAAAGAATGACCATGAAGGGTGAATCGCGAGCAGCGATAGCCCAAAATCCTCGAAATAAGCCTTTAGGTCCTTCTTCTAACAAGGTTTGTCGAATCACAAATCCAGCGTTGGGTTTTTGACCGTTGATTGTCTTGTAATGGTCGATTTGAAGTTTGGCAGTTACTACTTCTCTGGGTACTTTGATCACACTCGATGCTAAGTCGCCGAGAATGGCTGATAAGGCAGTGACAGGGATGGTGAGCGCGTTCTTTTCCTTGGGAAGCATCTTGGATTTACAAAATTCATAAGTGCTGAATCGAGCACCACCTTGGCCTGCTGCACCTAAAGCGGAAACAAAGAAGCCTCTTCCAAGACTGTTGAGGGTTGATTTGGAGAATACCACTTTGCGCCAATTGCCTGTGGTATCAGCTTGAATTCGAGTTTTAATGGTGTCAAGAGGATGCATACAAGCATAGGAGAGTGAGAGTCCCATTGCTCCGGATGTAAAGTTAACTACAGGTTTAAGTACTGATCAGTAAACGGTGAATCAAGCGAGATGTGAGTGTGTGGCTTCTTACTTTTAAATTGCTCAGGTACTGAAGTCATTGCAGATGAAATGTGTATATTGATTTGGTATGCGTATGATACGAAATGATGTAGATCAAAGAAGGGATGAAAGAGCAGATCTGTAGTTTGAGATGTGGGGTTTTTATATTTGCTTTATTAGAATTTTGATCATGTAAATCATGTTGAATATGAGCCTTTGATTTAAGGGTGACTCAGGCATGATAGCCAATCATGTAGCAAAGTAGAGTATATGTAAAACAGTAGGCAGATGGTCAACGTTGGTCATTTCGAAATATCAATTGTGATTGGGAGAGAGGTCTTTTGTGTGTGCAATTCTACCAACCAAAGACGACTTCTTGAACTTTTTCAGAGATGTAACTCAAGAACGAAGTGGCTCCTGCATTAGTCTTGTCCATCGCGCTAACACCCACTTTTCCTTTTCCTAAACCGCTTTCAAAACTCGTATTAGCTGTATTGGTTTTAAATACGCCGTTCGCCTTCTCCAATGGAACAACATTTTGCACAACAGGATCCGCATGTGTCTCCTCCAATGTCACGCCTATTAACTGATTCTTTGATATAACGATTCCATTACTCTTCAAAGCTGCTAATGCAGAGGCGTTCTTTTCGTATGTGATCGAGATCCAATTTCCACCAGGTGCTTGTTCAAAGTGCTCGATTTTACCGTATCTGTTGAAGTGAGAAATGACATTGTTCACCAAATTTGAGGGGTAGCCAAATACTCGAACTGTCCTTGATTGAGACTCGCTAATTTTGGATGCTCTGCTTTCATCATGCTGCAATGAAGAAGATCCTTTCCATCAAATATTGCTTAGTGCTTATTCCGAATATTGCGTTCGACTACATCAGTACCTCTACGTCTCTTTGGCACAATACCATTTCCAAACAGTCCACGTTGTGCTTCGGCAGTGCCCAAAAATATGCGTCTACTCATCTAGCGTCAATACAATCATCCGTAATCTCGTCTACAATGTCTTCCTTACTTTTTAGATGCTGCTTCTTCTTGCCCATCTCTCATTACAGTACTATCGGCTTTTGTATCCTCAAGTTTCTGCCGTGAATCAAGCGTTAATACGACTTGTAGCATATGCAGGGCAATGTATTACCTCTGAGAGAACACCAGACAACCGTCTATCACCATAGCCAATTGATAAATTACGCTGATCTCTCGTCTGTCCTACAGGTTCATCCACATCAAGGGTATCGCTGGATCTTCCAACAAAGAAGGCTGGCGGAGCATTGGAAATGTCTTTCTTGTGGGCTGGTAGTGTACTGAATATAGAGGTTGGGGCTGCTGATGCATCAGATGTACTTTCGTTGGTGTTTAGAAAGCTGGTCATGGCATTAAATGGAGGCGGTTGTTGCAATTCACTCTTTGAACAAGAGTCTTGGTTAGTCTGAGGTGATAAATTTGTAGTCATTCCTTGTATTTTATGATGGAATAAAGAATTTTACAACAAACAATGGGAGTTCGTATCAAAGGGGGAGAGCCAGCATGTAGCAATTTGCATGTAAAACCTAGTCACTGTAAAATCTCAGCTATGAAACTTGCACTAAATGGCAAGGAAAATGTATAAATTTGCAACATTTATCATAGGAAAAACTTTTTTCTTTACTAGAATTAATAATAATAAAAATCAAAGATGACCACTCACAAGAAGCTGCGTATCCTCTGTCTCCATGGTATGGTCCAAAATGCTGCAGTCTTTCGCAAAAAGACTGCTGTCATTCGGAAGAAGCTCGACAAGATGGCTGACTTGGGTAAGCATCTCCAATGTATCCAAATGTCAATATCATTTGCTGATGTTGGATTTATAGTGTATGTTACTGCGCCTCAAATGACCACTGACCCCAAGTATACTTCTGAAGCTCATCGTCTTGCTGCTGCTGATGAGAATGCCCCTGAAGGTACCAAGAGATGTGATGCATCCATCCTTGATCCTTTACTAACAATCGTCTTTTGTAGAGGAGAAGCCTTTTGCTTGGTGGCAACCTTATCCTGACCAACAAACTGAAGATGGCTACTACATGGGATTCAAAGAGTCTGTTGCTTTTGTAAAGGATGTCATGACCAAAGAGGTAAATTTTATGCAGGTACCCATTTCGTTGCCATGGTGATTAATTTTGATTTCAGGGCCCATTTGACGGTATCTTTGGCTTCTCTCAAGGTGCCTGTCTTGCTGCTGTTATCCTCGTTGCTCTCGAAGATCGTACTTTGGCACCTGCACTCTTTGGTCCTGAATTTGAGCATCCCAACTTTAAGTTTGCTATGCTTGCTGCTGGTTTCAAGCCAGCAGCTCAAAAGGCTACACAAAATATTTGGACTCACAAGATCAGCACTCCTACTCTTTTCATGATCGGTCAAGAAGACAAGTTGATTTCACCTGATCTCCAAGATGAACTCGTTGCTCAATGTATTGATCCTGCTGTCATTCGTCATACTGGCGGGTAAGTTGTGCTCTTTATCACTTGTTTCATCAAGGTGACATGTGTGTACTAACTATTTCTCACCCTCGATTAGTCATGTTGTTCCCTCTAATGCTCCTTCTCGTAACGAAACTGTTGCATTTGTTTCCAAATTTGTATAGATTCAATAGACAATTAGAACATTTAACATTTAGACATCTCTTGCATTTCAGTTCATATAAAAGCATTTACCATCATTCATAATGTCGACATCAATTTGAAGTGGGACGATAATTTCTAGCAACATGAGCGCAGTTGATATTTTCAGTGTTTATTCGAGATGATATGATTCTTGTAGTGTTCCAAAGTGACATAATCCAACCTTAAAAGATAGGTTAATTTCTCAAAGATTGCTTTTTTTTTTCTCTTCTGCTCCTTTTTCTTTCTTAGTTCTTTAATCTACAACTTCAAGTCATGGATATGCAAGTGCCAATGGGTCAACTACTTTTGCAGCAAAGTTATTTCGATATTAGCGCGATTCCAACTCAATTGCCTCTATCTCTACAACAACAGGGTTTCGTTCAAGATCCACAAGTCCCTTCACTAGAACAAAAGCTCGCACTGAATGAGCAAACATTAGCTAAACCCAAAAGAAATCAGGTGAAGAATGCCTGTGGTAAGTTTGGTTGAAACTACCTTGAAACATTTTTCTGAATGTTTTCATAGTTCATTGCCAGAAAGCATGCAAAAAGTGCGACGATGGTCGTCCATGTCAGAGATGCTTGAAATACAATTTAGCAGATACCTGTAGAAACTCAATTAGAAAGGAACGTCAAAAAGGCATGAAAAGAGGACCTTACAAACGAAAGCCTGGAGAATCCAACGCTCCTCAACGCAAGACCAAGAAATCATCCTTGGGCCAGACCGCCATGATTGCATCAAACGTCATTTCACAGGGCATCAATACACAGACTACATGTTCTTCAATGCTTGTGCCACCTTTTGTTACACCTGATACATCGCCTAATAACAATAAGGAAGTATTTGAACATGCATTGGCCACAGCCACAACATTGCCTAGCCAAAGTACTAAAATACCATACACATTTAATCATCATGACTTGTTGATGATGCCATTTTCACTTGCTGACGATACACCAACACTGCAGCAGGATCATTTTCCACTAGCAACAACAACAACAACAACAATAACATCACATGAGTTTGATCTGAATAAACAACAGCACTTGATGAATGACGTGCCAGCCTATAGTACATTAACAGCGTCGCCAGCAGCAGCAGCAGCACTAGCATCACAATTTCGATTTATATCACAAAATGACGACTTTACGTTATGAGTATGTGTGAGAAACAGGCATCTTAAGCTTCCCGGTCCTATTATTTCCCGAATCTGACTATGCGATGTGCTGCGCGCTATCTCTTAATTGTGCATGTTGCTCATTGAATAAATAAAAGTGTGCATTTTTGCACCGCCCTCGATTGATGGAAAGGGGTTATCATTTGCTATCCTTTTTTTTTTTGCTTTTGAGATCAGCGTTGCAGACTGATCTCGATTTGTTTGAAGCAATTGAAAGGATGGCTTAGATTGAGATTTAATGTTTTGTGTATTTGATGGAAATAGATCAATAAAAAAAAATGCTGTAAGGTCGATCTGTTGCATATGTGGTGGCCGCATGTCAGCTAAATAGAGTACAGTAATCATAAATCAAGACACACACACACACATCATGATGTATATAACGTACGATAACTGCATGTAACGCTTAGTAAATTGTGTTACAATCTTGACTTTATCAAAACTATTGTCTATTTTAATGAAGATTACCGACTCTCAATCTTATTGTTTTGACTCCCATTTTTGAGTTGTTTGTTACGCGAAAGCAACAACATGCAAGTGCACATGGCTTTGATTTGATGCAAAAAAGATGTTAAGATACCTGAAGTTAAACAAAAACGGAAAGACATGCCATCATTCCATATGAGCTGAGTGAGTGCTTTATTATTACATCCAAAATAACAATAAAAACATGTAAAAAGTAAATAAAGTGTACAAGGTGCCAAGTGCGTGATTATGATGGTAAATACAGAGAGAGAGAGAGAGAGAGTGAGTGAGTGAGTGAGTGAATGAGTGAGTGGGTGAGTGATAAGCAGGGTTAAATAGTAGATTAATAATGCGTATACATGGGATGACCAATGGGATATGTATATTGTGTATTGTTTTGGGAGATTGATTTGCTAGATGCTGGAATGGATGTCCATGAAGACTGAACAGCTAAAGGGTGGTTCATGTCAAATACTGCAAGAGATGTTAGGCAAAAGCATTATATAACGTCTGTATGTAACTTACATGTACATTGCGATATATCAGTGTATGCCATTTGTAATTGCTGCTCCTCGATTGAGGAATTGCTATCATTATCATCTTCGACTTTGAATGGCATATTGTATGGAACACTGCTATAATGATGTGGGTGGAGTTGAGGGCCATAGCCTACAACATTGTTTGCATACATGAGCGATATCTCATCGACGGGCTGCTGTTGATAATAACAAGGTGCATTTCTAAGTTTAGAATTGCTACTAGTACTAGTAGAGGATGTGGGGGCATCAATTGCTGTTGGAGTTGAATGCGCGGGAAATTGCTGTTGACAGAGAGCAGCGGGAAATGGGGCAGTGATAGGAGGAGAAGAAGCGGAAGAACAAGACGTCGAGGAGGATGAGGCTGGTGGTGTGATGATGCCACTATTATGCTGTTGCTCTTGGACAATGCTGATCTGAGTCATCAGTCGTTTATTTTCATTTTGAAGTTGTATGATTTGATATTGATATCTGTCTTCTTTTGTCATGTTTTGCTTAACCCAATCGAGAGCTTTTTCAACGATTTGGCCTTTGGATGGACGGCGATGGTTTTGAAGATTGGGAAGTGCCTCTGCCAGCTGCTGGAATTTGGAGTTTAGGCACTCTCTGCGAGCACGTTCAATGGCGTTATGTTCAGCTCTTCTTTCAGCTTTATTCAAAGACATGCGGCGACTGAATAGTAGTCCGTGCGTTTAGTACCAATAATGATTCATGTGCATCTGTATCAACTATACCTCTTGGAGCTCTGGCTACTAGGTGATCCAGCATCTTCTGCCTCAGCAAGATCGGCTGCTTCTTCCTTCTCGCTCATGTGAGGAGATGCCTCCACAGAAACAGGAGTGGACTTTGATTTGGTCAATCTCTTGTTAGGGCTTTCATTGGCATCACCAGAGAACTTGTTGAATAACATGTAGAGATTAGCGTTATGTGTTGAGCCTTCAGAGGGGTGCTGCTGTTGTGAATCTTGAGGATGGTATTGGAACATGTTAAGATTTGAGGACAATGGGCGGGGAGGAAGTTGTGAAAGAGACAAGAGAAAAAGATAAGAAAAATGGCTTTAGCAAAAGATGGGAGGTATTTATATGCGCAGACAAGCCAAAAATACTAGGTATTCTGATGTGAATAATCTGTCCTTTTTGTCCTGCAGCTGCTGTTGCTAATTTAATAAGTTTGATCTCAACATTTTAGTCGTTTAAAGAGCAGATAGAGGTAGGACAGGGATACTATAAACAACTTGGCTTGATTTTTAAGGTTATGAAAGCACAGTTAGAGTGCACAAGGACTCCGAAGGACCCATGACCATTTTCTGTTTGATTTGTGCTCAATTGCATTGTTCTATTATCAGACTGCAGCATAATACAGACACAAGTTCTCAAAATGTAGAAGATGTTTAGGACATGAAGCTGCATTTTTTTTTTCATGGATCTCGATTTTCCTTTGAGAAATGGGATCAATTGGGTTAGAACGTCATTGTTTTAGAGTACTATCATAGCAAACTGATGCATATGTCTTAAACTTTATCATAGTAAGCGTAGATATCCCTAACATATCAATCTCTTTTACAGCATGTTGCACAATCACGCGCCCGTGCACCTCCTAGAGGGATTGTTTTGTGTGTGAATTTCGGATAATTTCATTTGCTATATGAATACATGTCGACAGTTGCAAATGCGGAAATTTGAATGCAATACAGAGGCCTTTTTTTCAATCGAGATAGCGACATGCCTCTGTATTCTTTGTATCCAAAATCGACATGGAGATGCTGATCATCTGGATCTTTACTACTGTCTCAATGTCTATTTAAAGTTTGGAACAATGAAACAGAGCAAAATACCGGTTATCTGCGCACTTGCCGTGGTTTCTTCTGTGTCTTCTAAACTATTACTAGTAATTGATCTACCCACTTTAATCCTCCATCTCATTTTTTTTGCTTGGAATTCTGGATATCAAAATCCGTTGTCAAACAATAAGAAATTCATATCTTTGGCAGTTTAAACAAAACTTTCTTGTCGTTTATTAAGAAAATTCAGTTACCATCAGTTTTGCTCGTCTTGAAGAAAACGATCGCAAGAAAAGAGTCTTGAGTGATCCATGCATTGTCCCTTGCGATTAGATGTATTTAAATCCGAGGTGGTATGGTAAATGTTGGAATGCTTGTTTGCAGGCGCAGATTTTGCTAGATTCCTTCCTCCCTTCCCATTCATATAACTCCTTTTCCTTTGTGAAACATACCCAATAGATTCTGACTCATCGCCGCAAGTTTTGATCTAGAACAACAGCCATGGTTGAAGGCAGTTGCATTAATGACAATCCAATTAGATTGTATTCAGGACAATTAGGAATTTCGAATCCAATGAAGTAAGTGTGCATCATTGGCATTAGCTTCCATGTTACAAGAAAAAGTGGGCACGAGCATTTTATATGCTTGTGTATCCGTCCTTCGCTAAACGTACACTGAACTGCATGTTTATTACCTCTGAATCAAGTATTATGAGCTATTTAGTAAATAGGTTGGTCCCACTTGGTGATGTGATTCATCAAAGAGGAACTTGAATTTCGACTAAAACTTTTACCCCTCAATCACGATCAATTCAAAGTATTTGGTAGCTTGATTATTATTTTTTTTTTTTTTTTTTTTTTTTGATTGTGAAGATTATTAATAGAGGCTCATATGAATTAACGTTTAAAGCAAAGTCAAGCCATTGGTGTACTTGTTGGAATAATTATTTGCCTCAAATGATGGTCGAAATCGCAGTATGAAAGAATTTTTACAGATGAAAGCAAGAGCATATTCAGATAAACACAGCTTCCAAGCTATCAAACTAAGCTATGAAACAGAAAAAAAAACAAGACTTACGATGGTTTATTCATCATGAAAAATATTTTATACGTCTATGGCAACAATCTCGTAAGAACATATTACCTTGCTTGACTTATGATGTTGTTCAATACAGTATGCGATAACGGATAAGCTGAAAGTCAATTCTTGAAGTAGATTGCTCTTTGCTATTTTGTACGTCCTCCTCTGGATTGAGAAGTTTGCTATGCTATGAACAGAATCTAAGAAGCATGACATAGCTTTGATAGACGCCTCAGCCCCAAAACATTATTAGTTTGATCTAAATTTGGCCTACCATGTATATTGGACGAATTGCAGGCTTGGATCTTTCCCATAGAATAATGGGACATTTCTTCTCGAGCATTATATTTAAGAGTGCAAAAGTGTGAGATACGAATGATACTGTTACTAATGTGAATGAGAATTCAATGATGAATACAGTATAAGTCTAATAGGAGACGTGTAACACTATACATACTAGTATCACCTGTGTGAATATTTCACTTTGATGTCAAGATGGATACAAGTTCTGTACGCCTTGACCAGGTTTCATATGGAGAAGTATCAGTTTCATGATACCGTGATGGTGCAGATTCTTATTTGGTTCATCTTGCCAAAACCAATGATCCTAAGATGGCTACTGTTTGCAAGAACAAATGTGATGTAAAAGAGGAAATGTCCCACTTGTATTTCATGGGCTAGCCTAGATTTACAATTGCCTTTAAGGAGGAATCCCTCCCTTCATACGGATTTCAGAATGAGTTTAGATTAGTATGATGAATTGCTATTAGCCACCTCTCTTGGACTAGCAAGAAGGTGAAATGGAGTTATTAGCCCGGGTACAGTACACAGGGCTGGATTTTTTAAAGTTTCTGAATATTCCTCTTTCAAACTCTCTCTTAATGCCTCTTGTTTTGTGTAAAATGCTGCAAATATTTACATGTGTACACAACTTATACCCGTGCATTAAAAGATGTAGCAATGTTGCTATTTATTGAAGAATGTAACTATACAAAAGATTCATTCAATGTTTTCGAGCAAGGCGCATCTTGAACTTTGAAGCGCTTTGACCCTCTACTTTAATTGCATTAGGTATATTAAGGTGCTTTTTTGGTTTTGATGATGACATTGCAAAGGTCTAATTGGCGCCTGTTGCCTTCTATCTAGCTGGATGTTGTCTAGGAAAAACTTTATCGACTTGCAATGTTACTGGTAACCGAATAGATCAACTCCATTTTCGAGTAATACAAAGTTGCTTCTTAGGTAGCAAAGAGGAAACCGTTCTTTTATAAGAAATTCCAAAGATAACGCAGATGGCTCACAGAGAGCCAATAAGTCAAGCTAGGTATGAATCTCTTGAAAGAAGAATCAGGCTGAATCCTATAATACTCGATAGAAATGAGTAGAAGTAAAGAGTGTACATCACACATGATCAAATGCAAACAAACACTTGGTTCTTAATGATGTCTTTTAATACTTCCATTAACTATTTATCAAGTAAGACATTTGTGTGGTCCGTACGTCAATCAGCGTGGAAGAATGCATGGCTGCCACTACTACCCTTGATACGTTGTATTTCTACAGTGTTCTCTCTAGAAACAAGTGTAGGTAAATTCCTGTTTTGATCGTAGTGTCAAAATGTATTTAAAGAAACGAGACACCAAACTATCAATGAAAAATTAAATCATCGACATCTGTCAGCATTTTGTCAGATCAGACGTCTACAAAGCATATTTATAAAAAATGTACAACTAGGGTAGTTACATATCGAGCCTCATGTGTATTACATGTGTCGAACGTCAGGTTGTTCACGTGTAGTGTTGATAAAATTACGAAGTCAGTCGAATTGAAATGGCTACAACCTTTGCTTGCTAAATCATTGATTGATTGCGCTATATGCTGAAATATATTATAAATCTGCTTACCATATACCATATGGTTCACTTGGTGCTTAAAGTTCGTTCGAATAATTTTTAGCTTTAGTTTTTTTTTTCAGTAAACTTACATGATTGGATCGATGAGACGTCTGGAGGAGGCGGGAGCATCCAAATACAAAGTGTTGTGGTTTATCATGAAAACAGCAGCACAGACTTCTGTTGACCATCTGGCTTTTTTGTACATCAATTAGATCATCGATCGAATAATCGCTCTTGTGGGGCACTTTCCAAATGTTACATTTTTACTGGTTGCAGTAACACGAAACGATGTTTTAATGAATAATATATCGTACGATAATGCACTTTATGGTTGGCATTACAAACGTGGTCTTAATTTGGTGTCGATAGTACAGCTTTTATGCGTTTTGGGTGTCTAGAGGATACGCTTTTCCGAAGTTACATGCATGAACAAAAAAAAATCGAATTCTCAAAACTTTATTCTCAAACAATATTTAAATTCCTCTGTATAACGTTTTGTTTGAAAGAATTCTTATAAATCATTCAAAAACCTTATTTGTGTATGATTCACTTTCACTGCTGACAACCAGCTTAACGCTTGATGGATAGCAAATTCAGGCACATCCAATCATTTCAAGCAGATCAAAAAATTCTTTGAAAGTCCGGCTGTTATTATTTGACATGCGGGATTTGAAGTGACAAGGGATCGACAGACAGATTAAAATGAAAAAATTCAGCGGCTAGTGTATCCTAATAAATAGCTAAGGAGAAATTAGCAGACAACAGGATTGATACAGAGCAAGTGGTGTACCGATGCATATACATAAATTTATCAATCGATGATATGCAAAAGCGTTATTGACAAGACCATGCTGTAGATGCCACCAAGGTAGAACATCAGCTCTACTAATCATTGATCGATCAGAAGGAAAGGCAAGCTCTCTTATATTTTAATTCGGCATTCTCACTTAAAATGTAAGATAGGTTTATGGCCGCGTCCCAATATGTCGCATTCTCAAGCTATCAAAAATGTGAAGGGGCATACACTTGAGCCTCTTTATCCATTCTATTCATGCCTGAATCGATGAAAAGCGGAATTTATCCGAATGGTGTCGTTTTTTTTTTTTTTACTTATAAAATTGAGCTATATCTTTTTTTGATCAAGCGACTCTTTGGCATTAGCTAATATTGTACCTGATTGAAGCTACTATGACAAGTTTTCTCTAAAAGACTGCCTAAAGTGAAGCGTCCACCATCAAGCAAGTGATCCTTCCACCTTGAGGCGTAACAATACCTGCATTTATAGAATAGTCTCCCTACAAAGATAATACTTGAACAAATGATTGCAAAAGTATTGCGATAAAACTTACATTGGCTAGAAATAAATGGGTCAGCACATTGCTTTATCCATCTCGAATATTATATTAATACTTACGAAGCAAAGAGGGTACAATAAGGTTCGTTGAATAATGATAAGAACCACTGCTTATAGGACAGGCTGTCCCATTTCGCAATACCTCTGAACAAAGGTCAATTTGTTTATGTAAAACTTTGAAAAATCCAAGCTCCACCGAAAGATCTACATATGAGTAACGTGGTATTTCCTCCTCCAAATACCCACTAAACTCTATATTCAAATTCTGACCTTAGGTAGGTGGGTTCGGATCAAGTTCTATATAATCAATTCTGTAAAGCAGAACGTGGCTCAACTAAACAGTGATATATAAAGTATAGGCTCTATACTTACTTGAATGAACCCTGCCTGCTTCCGCACAAATGCACAGATGTCTTGGAGGTTGTTCTCTGCAAAGATTGCGGACATGCATCACTCTCGGTGACGTTAGTTGTGGCCATGACACCTACCAAGGACGTGAAAGCAATGAGTGCAAGTGATAACTTCATGATAAATTTGTCAAAAAGGCTGGAAATTAGAAAAGATAAACACAACGAATAAATGCTTTGAGCTCACAATGTTGAAGTTTTTGTTTTTATTTAATATATATAGTTATGTGAATATGGTACACTATGAATGCTATTTGAAAGTTTTATAAACGACCATCGACGATCGTTGGATATGTTGTTTTTTTTTCCTACATTTGGGAAATGCTGGCTGTCATTCAGAGTTGGGTCTTCCCAGAAGGCTTCTCGTCCTGATTTATTTCAATCTCGGTCTTGATGCCTTCCTCAATATCTTTAGGTAGGTCTTCCGTAATAGTTTCTACTTTGATATTTTCAGGCTTGAAGTCGTCGAACTCCTTTTCCAAATCTCTATAACCAGCGAGGCGATAAACTACAGCACTCACTGCCCAAGTAACAATAAAAGCTCCCACAATAATAATACCAATCCATTCAAAACTATCAGCCAAGAAATACCAGAATCTCCACCATCCGTTGTCCAACTCGAGTTGTTCTCCAATCAATGAGAATAGCTCAATCAAAGCTACAACAACAGCGACGACCACACTGATTGTCGTGATGGTCAAATTATAGAATAGCTTTCGTACAGGGTTGATGTAAGCCCAGGTATAGGTAAAGAGCATCAACATGCTGTCGAGCGAATCAATCAATGCCATGCCTAGTAATGCCAATTTTAGGAAATATTTAATACTGCTGGTCCCTGACAAAACTTACCTGATGCGAAAAGGATCGGAAGCAGAATAATGAGCCACATGGACATGCCCTGTGCACCCTGAACTGCAGTGATGCCCAATAATGTCACTTCGGAAGCTGTATCAAAGCCTAATCCAAACAGGAAACCAAGAGGGTACATCTTCCAAGAAGCATTGACAAATCTAAAGACAGGACGAAAGAACCGCCCAAGAATACCTCTATTGGCCAGATATTCCTCAATGTCAACTTCCGTGTAGACGCCTTCTTTCTTGACTCGCTTCATTGTCTTGATGACACCGATCATACATACCAGATTAAGGATGGCAATCAACACTAAAAATGTAATGGACACAGATGTACCAATCAATCCTCCAATCTCAGAAAAGTCTTCGATATTATTGGCTACGGCATTGGCAGTTGCAGCAACGATGATAGATGTGATGAATACAACAGTGGAGTGGCCGAGAGAAAAAAATAATCCCACGCAGACCGGATGTTGGTTGTTGTTGAGTAATTTGCGAGTGACATTATCAATGGCAGAGATGTGGTCTGGTTGCGTTAGTTAGTAGATTAAAATCACATTCATGATTTGTGATAGATCTTACCCGCATCCACAGCATGACGCAGACCTAGAGTATACGCAAGAGCACCAGTACCGACCATGGAAGGATAGGGTTTAAAGACGCACACAGCAATTACCCAGATGGCTACCTGCAAAAGCAATAGACCTGCCAGGAGCAAAAGAACCTTGGGGCGTACCTTGTGTGGATCAGGACCAAAGAAGAGCTTGTATCCAAAGGAATTCTCGGACATGAACTTTAATGCATATGTTCCTAGCCTTCCAGGTGTGTGATCTTCAACGGCATTGACAGCTGTGTTTTCCATTTTCTGATGCAAATGTTTGTAGAGAAAAAAAGAAAAAGAGAATACAATTGAAACATCTACATCCTTTTATACCGATGTTCCTCTTCTATCTTATTGATACACCGCAAGCAGAGAGAGTGAGAGAGAGGCCACAAGTACATCGGTTGCCACAAATGCATCGGTAGAGCTCTCTCTCTCTGCGCGTCACCGTGAGATAGTGACTGGACAAAGGTTCTCTATCTGTGTACAACAGTGTACAATGGGATTCAAGATCAGTTTTGACGAAATCTCTTGATCTATATACTTATCCTATTACCCTAAGCTATATTTCTTTCATGAAGTATGATTGCAATTTGTGAATTATACTGTGGATCCTTTCAATTAAGATTCAACATGATTTGCATTAGCCGCAATTCCAAGCATTTGCCTTTTGCCATGTATTGGTGCACCCAATTAGAGTTCAGCGTCTCTTTCCGATCTTTGATTATACCGTGTGTCTTGGGAAAATCTGCACATTTCGCCCGCAAAGCAGTTTTTGCATGCATGTTTGCATGTTTGACAGGCTGGTGTGCTTTTTTTTTTTGTTTTGTTTGGATCCTATCTACAAATCACAAATAGGGACAAAAACTTATCTTTCAAGGTGCTACAAAAGAACAACCAGAAATTAATTTTCATAGAATCTCCAAAAACCGACAGAAAATCAGTATCTCATCTTCTGTTCCTCGGTAAGTAGCGCAATTATACTACTAAGAAGAGCAATAGGCAAGGGCCGGGCTGTTTTTCGGAAGAAATTCGAAAACAAAAAGTAAATTTTTCTATAATTATTGGTCTTGATATGCAAACATTGATCCTTGTCAAGCGGCACATGGTGCAAATCAAGTTCTACAACATAATCTGCAGTATCACAACAGAAACACCCATCTCAACCCTTTGATCCATTAGATCGAGTTCACCTCACATCACGCTTGTTCACGCAACATCTGAAGGATCTAAAGATGTGTTGATTTTACCAAAGCGTCAACTTTCATGTTACAAATATAAGAGCTTGGTCTGACATCTGCCGTGCATCATCATCTCTCGTTACCTTCTTCACTATATATATACTGGAAAACTATGCTTTTAAAAAATAGACAAGCCATTCACATTCTTTCAAATGAAATTCTAAAGAATTGAAAGCTGGACAAAGGTGAGTAAAACCACCAGAGAAGCCGACAATAAAAAAAGGGTTTGGAGGGATTACCGTAGCGAAGCAAAGGTGCAAAGCCATGGTAGGTTTCACAGGCTGCAGAACTACCCTTCCAGAAGACTTCAGCTACCAAGATGTGATTCATGCCGTGTAAATAGAGCCATAAAGCAAAACATAACCAAATTTGACAGCTTTCAAGCCTTCATATCTTGACATGTAGACCTTTCTGGGCCACCGGAATGACGCCAAACAATTGTACTTGAGTAGTAGTAACTTCCTGATACCTTTGCTCAACTTTTTGGGCCAAAAAAAAACATGGCCAAAAATCGAGCAAAAACCATGAGGGATACCTCATGATTTTCATCGAAAATCAAACGATCGCATTTTTCACCTTGAAAATGAAGACTTTTACTATGGTATATATCAAATCAAAATGTTTCTCTTGATCCAAAGCAACCTTTGAAACCACTTCATATGCAGAATTTCGACATTTTGGCCAAAACCCTTATTTCATATTTTGCCAAATTGCTCAATGAGTTTGTTCAAAACATCTATCTTACTTGGTACCATTAGAAGCGCCTTGAAAAGTATTCCAAGAATGTATTAGGAAGCATCGGATGATAACCACAGTTCATATAGTCGAATATCACAAAATAAATTAAAGAAGTCTACAAAAGGCGAAATTTGGCCAATTATGAAGAGAAAAAACAAACTGAGCTTGAACGAGTTTTGGCGGCGGCGGGCGGCGCTGTTGCTGGCTGGCCCAAATACCTTTCTGATGATAACAATAATGATTGCGATGCTGATTAAATGGGGATTATAGATTTGAAAGGGCAATCGCCTAGCTTGAGTACTTTTTTTCCTTGCGCTTTTTGCGAGCTTTCCCCTATAAAGGTGTCTTTTGCAATGGCAACCTCTCAAAAAAGTCACTGTAGATCTGATAGAAGACCTGTATCTACACATGGCCAACTTATATTGCCATCTTGACAGTTCTACTACCAAAAAGTATGGAACGAACAGAGAATGTGGTGTACAAATGCTGCATAAAACTTGAACTCTCTTTCACATCGTCTCAATAGTAGCCTTCTTTTGATAGCAGTGTATAAGCAAAGAGAGGTGCTGGGAGAGGGGGAGCTGATACCTTCCTCTTCTGTCTCGGATATAACCTTTCTTTTACTATTAATTGTTTGTTCAAAATCTACTTGGTATACCAAATTATTATTATCTTTAATTTGAAAAGTCTTTGGCGAGAGCCCCTCCCCCCCCCCCCAGGGCGACACCGTCATCGAGCGTAGCGAGATAGATCGGATAGTTGTCATTATACTCGCAAAATTCACTTGTTCCTCAAGATTGGCCTGATTTTGTTCAAAATCGATATAACTCATCTCTTTTGCCAATATATAGTTACTTTAGTTTATTTTACTTTTAGATTAGTATAGCTTAGTATGTATTCTTTTATTATTTCCTTTGCCTTAATTGCAACCGCCATTTTATTCTGATCTTTTACTCTTAATATACGCGACACAATCAATAAACAAAACAAAATATAAAAACATCTATTTTGGAAAATTGACTTTATACGTCGTGATGCTAGGTCGATTCTCCCTTAAGCTTCCTTGAGGTACTATTCAAAACGCATCTGATAGTGTTAAATATAACTAGTGTTTTTAGTAAGCTTATTGAGCAATCTTAGAAAATATGAATAAGCAAAGCTTCAGGGGTTGTCTTGGATCGATGCCATAGTAAAAGCCTTCATTTTGGAGGTCAAAAACGCGATCATTTGAGTTTTGATGAAATCCGCAAGGGATAACTCATGGTTTTTGGTTGATTTTCGACGATCCAAAAAAAAAAAAAAAAAAAAAAAAAAAAAAAAAAAGTTGAGCAACGGTTTCAATAAGAGCTAACGGCTTCTAGCACGAGAAATCAGTGCTCAAATGCATCCAGATTTGGCTGTGTTTTTCGCATCTTAGAGTAGTAAGAGGCATTGCAGGTTTGCTGCCAGCCCATATATAAATTGTTTGCATAGTTTGAAGGTATAGCATTGTAAAGGAGTCAGATGCACAGTACCAGGTTAGTTTGAGGCCGTCATATAATGGTGGAGAGCTCAAAGAAGTAAAATATCAGCGAACAACCCTACACTAGTTGTTTGAATCAAGCTCACCACTTTCGTGCTCAACAAATTACATACATGATAAGAGTAGACGATTTTCACTGATGGCTAGCCTAACAGAAAGCGAAAGAAAACGTAGAATGGAACAGATATATGTGCAGTTTTATTGGATAAGGTTATTTTCACTCAAAGCCTATAGGTGAGGCAATGATATATATAAAAAATGAAAAAGAATGTATATGTATAACGAGAAAGAGACATGATTATTTAAGCAGCAATTGGTTTACGATCGGAAATGAGTGTTTTCTGACCTTGTTCATTTATAAATGTCTCTGCTGAAGTTGCAGGGGAAACAGCAGGAGGTGTGTGTGCAAACATGTGCTTTTCAAGATGGTCTTTAGCTTGTGAAAGGTTCTTGTAATCAATGCTACAAATAATTCAACCTGATGAGTTGCTTGTATTGCAGAAACCAAGTATCACTAATTTTACCCTTTTACACCTTTAAATTCATACTCTTCACTCTTGTTGATGGTGAAGAAGCGTGGGTGCCATTGCAAACCCTCCTTTTGGCGGACAGCTGTCTCCTCACGTTGTCTGTTTTCGATAAATGTCTTTTCATCGGTAGCAGCATCCATGTCCTTTGCAGCCAAACCAGCAGTTACTTTGGACCATAATCTGTTGATCAAAAAAAAGGGTTGGGGATCGGGGAATTAGTCATAGCAATGATATAACATGGCTTCATCCATCAAATGTCTGGTCTTAGGTCCGTAAAAACCACAAGAGAAACCATACAACTTACTTTCTTGATTCATTCCATTCTTGATCATCTAAAGGCTCGACAGATTTAGTAATAACAGGGTGCTTTGAAACGTTGAAGAATGATTCTTTGGATGAGTTCTGTTTGCATAACAAGACCAAAATGAGAAATTGGGAAAATGTATATAAAAGGAAATAAATGATTAATGATCGCATTCTATGCTTTCCAAGCTTCCAATTACCTTTCCCTTAATGAACAGTTCTTCTGTCCATACACCAGATATTTCGTAAAGAACATCCCCAGTAGAAATACGCTTAATTTTTCCGGTGACTGAATGGTATTGACCAGAGAAGTAACCCTTTTAAAATACACATTGAGAAACGCTGAAAAAGGTTGGCTAATATGGAATAAGCTTACCTTGGTTTTGAATTCCAGTTCGCAAATGAGATCCAGGGATTTACACTTGATAGTGGACTGATCTCCCATTTCCATGATCATTTTTCCAACTAAGAAAGAAAATGGAACGCATGTTAATAGTGTAAGGTGGGTTATGAAGTCATACATACACAAGATGCCACGAGCGTAAACATTAGGGTTTGATATTTCAAAAGTCTCATTGTTCAATTCACTAAAGACAATGCGAGTGTAACCCTTCATGACGGTAGCAGCACTGTTGCCAAGAAACTTTGCTTTGGGATGTGCCTCGCCCGTGACGAATATACCTAGTTCTGGCAGGGAATAGTAGTATGCCGAGATTGGAGGGTGATGAGAGACCTGCTCAGAGATATACATTGCTTTTGAGCCATCCTTGAGATTATATTCACAACGGAAGAACTCTCCAAGAATGGGATTGTAAGGTTTCTTAACGCCCTGAATAACCAATGCAGAGAATTAGCATAAATATTGAGATATGTTGCAAATATGTTAGCCTACTTTTGGTTTGATATGCCAGCCAGAAAGAAAGAATCTGCAAACCTCCACAAATCTTTGAGTGGGATCTTCAGTTTTAGATGCTCTGTTGCAATGAATGATAATATTAATGTTAAGCAATGTTGCCGTAATCATTGGGCTACTATGAAGCTAATTACCTAACTAATAGATCAGGATGGCTCATGAAATCAGTGATCTTTTCGAGCATACTTCTAGGCTCCAAAACAAAGGTTGGCAAAGTAACACGAGAGAGATCAGTTCCTTTCCTCAGTTGAGCAATGAGGCCCATGATGATACTTTTGTTGTCATCTTCCAGGACTTCAGAGCTATCAATATCTTCTTCAAATTTCTTGCAGCTTTTCTTGCTCATTGAGGTGTTGATTGTAAAAGGTGATTTTGAATTGAAAGAAGAAAAGAAAGAAAGAGAAAGGAAGAAGAGGGAGAAAACGTGATTTAGTAATGGACAAAGAGTACCAAGAGAAAAATTCCATTTACCGCTATTCCACCTGTTTATGGAAAAGAACGAATTTGATGGAATCGGCCTTTTGTATCATTTCTATCCCGTATACGCATCCCTACTTTTTGGGGAATTAGATGATGGATTTGCATCTCCTTCGAGTGTGCAATCTTAATGTGTAAATCCAACTAAATCTTAAATTGCTTTTCATATTTTTTTTTCCACCTTGCCAGTAGTGGCAGCAGATCAAAAACGAAATACAAACAATTATTAGAGTTTAGTGTTTACTTTTTGTAACACAAATGTAGGGAATCAACGAAAAAGATGCTTGGAACAAGACATCATATTGTCACAGGGCTGTAGGCCCATCAACGCCTAGTTGGATTAGTGCATGAAGACTGAGAATTTGGATCGTTTTTGTGGTTAGATCGGCTTGCATCAGACTTCGTTGGTCGAGTGAGAATATTATATATGCTCTTCGTGAGCAGTAGATCTCTGCTTTCCTTGGGTAAGGGTAGCTACATTTGGAATCAACATGCTTACTCGGTGCTTTTGTGTCCGAGGGTCCGGGGAATCTACTACTCCACGTGACATCTTCAGCTTCATGCTCTCAGTACACTCTCAGTTAAGTGTATCCAACATGTATACACATCAAAAACCTTCTTTCTTATCGACAACAGGTAATGTACCACTAGAGACATCAATCGTGATCATCATTTGACAGCATACTCATTCTCAAATCTACCATCATTTCATCAATCTACTTGGATGGATTCATATTAATTCTTTATGGATGTAGGCTAGCATGGTTGCTCTTAATTTGCCCGCTGACGTTTTGGCTACTGCCGATGGTACCCGTAAGCTCTTCAACAAGTGGTCTTACGATGATGTTGAGGTCAAGGATATCTCTCTCCAAGATTATATCCAAATCCGTCAACAAGTTTACTTGCCTCACACTGCCGGTCGTTTCGCTGTCAAGCGTTTCCGTAAGGCTCAAGTAAGTTTGCACTCTGATCTAACAAAGTTTCAATGTACTAATATAATTCCATAGTGTCCTATCGTTGAACGTTTGACCAACGCTCTCATGATGACTGGTCGCAACAACGGTAAGAAGCTCATGGCTGCCCGTATCGTTCAACATGCCTTCGAAATCGTTCACTTGTTGACTGATGCCAACCCTCTTCAAATCCTCGTTGATGCCATCATCAACTGTGGTCCCCGTGAAGACTCCACCCGTATCGGTTCTCAAGGTACTGTCCGTCGTCAAGCTGTCGATGTCTCTCCTCTCCGTCGTGTCAACCAAGCCATCTCTTTGTTGACTGTCGGTACCAGAGAGTCTGCTTTCCGTAACGTCAAGACCGTTGCTGAATGTCTCGCTGATGAATTGATCAACGCTGCCAAGGGTTCTGCTAACTCTTATGCCATCAAGAAGAAGGACGAACTCGAGCGTGTTGCCAAGTGTAAGTTTTGTTATTTGAGGATGTTTAGTAATTCGAGTGCTAATTTGTTTTTATACAGCCAACCGTTAAATCCTGTTATATTCATGGTTTACTTTTACAACTTTTGCTCTGTTTATATTCAACGAAATAAATTTTGATGCAACAAAACCTTTCCTTCCCTGTTTGATATTATTTGATTTACTACAACACCTTCAACTTGGCAACAACATGGCGTGTATCAAACTCAGCTGTCAAATTCAACCATCTGTTGTCATGGAAACGCGCACTAAAATTGGTTTGGTAGTGGAAAAGGGTTTTAAAAGTGATTTATTCATGTGAGGAATGCAAACATGGGGGAGAATGTACAAAAGTTTATATCTAAGATTATATGATGCTTTACTGGTTGTCTTCTTGAGCGTAATATAGTTTTCTTTCGTCGATTTGTCTTTCTATAGCTGCTAATTCAGGGATTCTAAGATACGCAGTTTTGTAATACTGTAAGACTTCGTCTAATGACAAATGAGGGATCAAATTTCTGCAATTGATAAAAGAAGGTGAGAATCTAAATACACGTTACAGTGCACTAGCTACTTACTTTCTCGGTGCCACTTTCAAACAATGTTCAGCATCCATGCGCAGATCAAGTACGGAATCATAATGTGCGCCAGGACTAAAAGCAATGCGAAGCGAATATTCTTTTTCTGATCCGTTGTGTCTGTTTCTTTCGTACAACTCGAATGTAATTTGAGTCAAGACTGCAAGAAAAGAAGGTTCAGTGTTCCTCGTAAATTGTTTAGATAGATGTACAACTTACAATCTAATTCAGGTAGAATGGGGCGTGGAAATTTGGTTGGTAAACCAGAGAGATATACTAGATTGAGAAGTGCATGTACATGTGATTCTACGAGTAATAGCAGATGGTTGAGCATACATAGATCTTATTTACCAAATATAAATACTACCTTTAGTAAAATAAAGCCTTGTTTTTGGCTTCTCAGATGTCTTGAAATCTTCCATATCGTGCAAAATGCTCTTGAGTAGAGGTAGCCCAATCAGCATGCCAATGGTCTTTTTCTCTTTTTCGCTGATGCCGTATTCTTGAGGGGCCACAAAATTGAAAAGTACTCGGACATAAGCATACAAATTACGAAGATCATCGCTGATTACTTCTGACGTCTCTGTGGAAGATCTGTAGCTAGTATCTGAGCTGGTGCTGCCGTGGTCCTCGGTAGGTGTAGCCACTCGGGATGTCTCTGGATCACTGAAAATAGCTTCTAAAAATTGGCGATTATGCAACGCATCATACTTGAGAGAGTCGTACAATTCGGGGATACCAGAAGGATCAGGGCATGAGGACTCTTTTTTCACATCAGAATCGCTACTATCATTGACTTGGTTAACGCAAAAAGTGTTGAACATTTTTTCCCATCGTTCCTTGAACAGATTAGGTGATTCAAAGCAGCACCAACGGCGTTGCAATTCGTCTACATCTTTAGATGCCCAATTCAGCCGCATGACAGTTCGCAGACGGCCCATGATGGTAGACACTTCTTGCAAAATAATATGAGGTTGCGCCATGTTGGCTGGCCAGCCACATTGAGCGAGCAGAATAGTGGGAATTTCATATCCAGGACGAAGCAATGACTTGAGCTGCTTTTTGACTGCATCCATTTGTTCCTTGGCAGCATTGCTATCGTCAAGCAAGTATTTGCTCTCAGAAATAACGCCATCAATTGACTCTGGTCTTCCGAGAAAATAACGAGTAAACACATCAGCTGACCCAAAGTTAGCACTGTAATTTAATATACTAGCAGTTACTGTAGTTACCTGTTGCACGAACTCTACGCTCTGAACTACTCCAGATCTTGATGTCGTCTGTAACATGTTTGTTAAGAATTTTCATGTCTTTTCGAAGATTCTCGCCCAAATCTCGAGATTGATGTAGCCCAGCGTGTGTAAACTATTCCTCGCAGTCAGTAAAGAGATGTCGATTGGGTAAATTAGACTACTTACTTCACCCCCCCATTTAACATTGACTTGCAACTTTCGAAGCAGATTGGATTCTTTGTCGAAAATTGGCTTTACTTGCACCTTGGTGCCTGGTAATTCGCTCTTCTTTTCCAAAATCTCCTTTAATGCCATCAGTTTGCTCTCCTCTTCCAAGTTTTGCTCCAAACATTGGTTAATGGCGTTAGTGACCAACTGTAGTTGATGTTTCTGACGGAAAACGACTTCCTGTGTGCTTCCTTCCAAGAGATCAATGAAAGGCTGTGCGACGAGTGAGATTTTATGTTTGTTTTTGGGCGTGCGGTCACCATGACGGAATACAGCAGCATAACCTTTAAGTCTCCACGAATTTTCAGGAAGAATTTCTCGAGGAATATCGTGAATCGTGGTTGATGGTCGCCTTTGAACAGAGCGAAGAAAAGCCTCGCTCAACAATTTGGCGCATTGGTCATAGTAGTGATCATTTCCCTTTACAAAGCTCCAACCATTGACATCAATCACATAGGACTTTCCTTTGACTCTAAGTAGATCTAATCCGCAAATCATTTGTCCAAAAGCCTTTGACACTTTGGCAGCAATTTGCTTTTCTTCTGCGGTCAACTCGGTCACATATCTGATCTCTTTTCCTTCGGTGTTGCGCTTGACTAATCCGTCTACAGTTGGTGATCTATACGGTATGGGATGATGTTGGTAATCAATGATTGAGACTCTGGACTTGGCTTACTTTCTGGTTTCAGCATGGACGTAGGTTGCGCCAACAGTGTAGACTTTGACATCTTCGCTATTCTCGGTGACCATCATTGACTCGTAAATCCAAGAATCCTCTTCAGCTGGAATATTCAAATTGGGGTCAAATTCGCTTGATTTGTTACCAATCTGACAAGGAAATCAGGACTCAGCGACTCACAAATAAACAACAATGACACTACCTTCCTAAACAAACGTCTTCCTCCTCCTCCACGCTCTTTGTCGTAATAAATATTGATGTTGTGATTTTCGCTGTCTACAGGTTTTTCCAAAAAGGTTTTGGGAAGAAATGCACCATCCACTTCAATTCCATCTTGAGAAATATGGACATGTTTTGTGTTTTTTGTGTATTTTCCCATTATGCGATGAATATCCATACCAGAGACTTGATGAAAGGCACGTGCTGCTTCAGGATCTACTTTGGCTCCTCCATCACGCGATATCACAAGACGAGGTGGAGTGGGCACACCAACAGCATCTAATACAGCCAGGACAATACGACGGTCCCATAACAATGATTGCATACACACATCATTCACAGTAAATGGCTTACGAAGTTTCACATACTCGATAGCTTTGTCAAGTGGAAATCCCGCCGAGAAGAAGCACAACAGGAAATCGCAGCCAGGCCAATTCTCGACCTCTGAATGAAAATGCGTGCATTTTGAGTATAAAGATTCCATTCTATACATGGATTGTCATACCTTCATCAATAATTGTCTTGTCACCGAAAATCACTACTTCAAAATCTCCGTACGCCAGCATTCTGTCTAAAATATATCGCATAGGCTTTGACCTAGCCTTTTTATCCATGGCACAAATACCGATAACATCTAGTAGTCGAGTTTGTTGGATGCTCTGCGCAAAGGTTTATGTCAAGTGATCTTACATTGGGCTTTTCCAGTAGAGGCGCTTCTTGATAAAGTTGGTAGGTTTAATACAGTTGAAGGCATACACTACTATCTGTTGCAGTACTTGAAGAAAGAGTAAATGAAAAGAAAAGGTGTAATATAAATAAAAGAAAAAAAATCTATTTTAATTGCGTGAATCCTTTTTGAAGCCTTTTTTTTTTTTTTGACAAGTTCGAGTTTGTTGTTGTTGAGTGGAAAGAGGCGCAATTGACCAATGGCAGGACGTCAATAGGCACGTTTGTTGTTTGTAGAGGTTTAATTGCTTTAAAATTCTTCAAGATCTTGAATTAAAGGAACACAAACCTTGATCATTCAGTTGCGATATATATGTATAAATGTTCTTGTTGTAGTAATTTATGCAATACCAATGTTTTTACAATGTTGATTTTATATTACCCATTTTACGGGATGGATAAAAATACTGATAATTTTTATGCAACACGGCATTTTTACTTGCTTGCAACATCCCACTGTTCTCAGAATAATCACATTCGCATACTAAAAGAAATTGCTTCGCGACATATATCTTATATCAGATTCACAACAATTTCAATCCATTAAAACAATGAACCGAGACGATCAATATGCTATATACACTACAATTGGTAATTTTCGCAAAAAAATGCTCATTAACAGGGTCGAACTGTTGACCTTGGCGTTATTAGCACCACGCTCTAACCAACTGAGCTAAACGAGCCATGCGTGAGGAATGTCCCTGCATGAATGGATCTTTCATCTCTCGAAATCACTTCCCTCAATGTCGTGCTTTGGATCGTGATCTGTGGGATGCTCTGCCTGCTGCTCCTCCTGGTGTACATGTCATTGACAATGCCCTGAACATGCTGCCTATAAGTGGTTCTGCTGGTCCTCCAGTATACTGGTCTGCGTTACTATCTTTGCTTCATGCAATCGACTGTCTGGTCCACCCTTTGGCTACTATCGCCCCTGATCCTGATCCCGGGTCATTGTGGTTCTATCCTCCCTCTCATGGCTAACTGAGATGAACGTTTGGCCGATTGCTTTCTTTGTGCGGTGCCTCGGTGGTAAGTCAAATCAAAGTTCCCATCCGTTGGTTCATCCCTCAAGATCAACCGTGCCACTACAAGTAGTCTTCTGCTCTTTTACTGCCATCTCAAACTTTTTTCCTCATCTTTTCCGTTGTCTCTGTTGAGGTTTTCTTTCTTTAGTCTATATAGTTACTAGTTTTATGGCATATGCTCATACCGAGTGCCCAATTATAAAACATTGTATATAAATAAAAACAATCTTTAAACTGAGCTAAACGAGCACCTTTCTTTCCGCTAACCAATTTTTTTAATACATTGAAGCCCAGTAATATTGAAAAAATTGACCCAACTCTACAATTCCATACAATACATAGCAAGAACACCATTCCAGACGACACCAAAGTAAACCAGGCATTAAGCTCTGCGTCCTCTCTTTCTCCAGGTCAAAAACGGCCAAGTTCCTCAAGATCTCCACCTTTTTTCGCTGTAGATTTCACTCAACAGTTAAAAACAAAGAAAATGACACTCTCTCCAACCTCTCAGCACCATCATCCACAAACATCAGTTGATATCATCAACATTTCAACTGATTTTGGAACAACAACTCCTCCATCTGCCTCTCCAGCGAGTGAACAGCAACTTTCAACCTTTATGATTGAGGTTCGAAATCGCTTAGCTCGTCTGGAAACCGCCCATGTCGAAATTGAGCGGTTAAAAACAGCCCTGGCAGAGTCTGAAGCTGCTCGTCACGCTCTCGAAGCCCAACTTGCAGCTGCTACTGGTACTACAACTAGCCTGGCTCCCAAACCATCATCATCCCACCCACCTCCTGCCACTACTACCATCACAACAGCACCAGCATCAACTACATGCACCAATGCTACCTCTGCCACCTCTTCGTTTCCAGGAAATCAACCATCTTTTGCTGCCGTCGTTGCATCTAATACAGGTGCAAAGCGTAAGAAGAAGCCTGCTGCTCGTCCTCCTCCTCCATCTGCCACCAAGGCATCCGCTACTCTTGCTCGTCTTTTTGCTCCTCAAAGTGATATACCATCTGGTTATCAATTTGTGTACTATGCTACTCCTGTCCGCCGTCGTCTTTCTGAGCTGCGTCGCCTTGTACAAGGCGTAGGATTGAATAACTCTCGTGTGCTGGATATTCAATATCCTGTACAGAATGTGATTTCTTTCCTTGTTCACAACGACTATGTTCTCACCCTCACCAAAGCCATGCATCTCCATGGTCGTGGCTCTTCTCCGTTGATTGACTTTGATCCATGTGATCCAGTCAATCTCAAAGATCCCAAATTTGCTTCTCTCTCTCCTGATCTGCGTGTCCAAAAGGCCATTGAGGTCGAAAACCTTCGCTGCCTTCGTTCGCTGTCTTTTGTCCGTCGCTCTGTCCGTGTTTCTGTTGCTCGTTCTTTTCTTTTGTATGATCGCATCAACCAAGCCCAATTTGATGCCATTTTGAAAGAAGAAATGCTTGCTCGTTCCTCCTCCTCTGCTGCTGCTAAACCACCATCCCGATCCTCTGATCAAGAACGTTTAGCCAAGAAACAACGTTTGAGTTATCTTGGCTACCTCTTGCATCATGATGCTGAAACTGCCTCTCTCTTGGCTTATGCTGTCTCCCCCACTCTCTCTGCTACCAAGGATCTTGAAATGTCAGAGCCTTCTGATAACTGATTGACACCTTGTTGTTAAAATCGTTTTGCTCTCTCATTCCCACTCTCATTGTTTCTGTTTCTGCTGCCTTTGTGGTAGTGTCCGTATTCACTTTGTCCTCCTTCTCTGCTTCTTTCTCGTTTGGTCTTTGTCTCTCTACTCATTTTGCTATATGCAAATGCCTCGTTTTCTCCTTTTTTTCTTGCTTTTTTTGTGCCACTGAGGACTGTGGGTTTATTTTGTCTGTGCTGCTGTCTGAACATCGAGGTATCCTCAATTGCATGTCTCATACACCATAGCTTCTTATTCTCTACCCTTTTATCTCACTTGTTTTACTTCTTTTTCCTGCCTGTACTTCTTTTTTACCAGTTTAATTTTTAGTTTAGGACCTTTCCCTTTTCTGGACACTTGCATGTTGTTCCTGCATGGAGATCAAACTATCAATTTAAGCTTTTTTGCTGTACGTCGCTTCTCAGGACTTGCAACTAATGATCCAAAGATCGCATGCATATAAGTCTATATTTTTTACATTGCTAATTCATTGTAATCAATAAACAACCATAAATTTTCGCCTGAGCTAAACGAGCATCTCTTTCCGTTTTTCAACACTTTTTGCCACCGTTTTCGGAAAAAAGTTGTTCCAGACTAGAAAAAACGTATTTCCTCGATAACTACCAACTCCAACAACTCGAAATTACACAACTTTGCTTGCCTTTGGTAACAGTTTATTGTGTTATAGTTTCAAATTTGTCGAACACCTCCTTGATATTTTTTTAAAAATTTTCAAATTTATAAAAAAATATTCTCCGTCATGGCCACCAATCTACAGGGTATGGATATGAATCAGCTTCAAATGATTCTTAATCAGCTCCAAGAACAACTTACCTCGGTTACTGCTCGCGTCAACGAACATGATGGTCTTCTTGCTCGTTTAGATACTCTGGAAAAAGAGAATTCAGAGTTGAAAAAACTTTTACAGGACAAGGACCTTGCAATTCAAAAATTGCAGGGTGCAGTCTCCGGTCACGTGGTCCCCTCTGGTTCGAGTCGGCCCACGGCGGTAGAGGGGTCAACCCTCAAAACTACTACTGGCTCTATGAATACTAAGGCTACTGAATCACCTAGCTATGCAAATGTCGCAAAGGCTGCTGCTACTCTTCCTGATCCTGCTACTGAAGCTAAGCAAGCTAAGAAGCGTCTTGCTATTGGTCGCGCCTTTACAACTGCTGCTCGTAAAGGTCCTCAAGGTTACCAATATGTTTATATTGGTAGATCTAAGAAGATTGCACGCTCTGAAGTTCGCTCTCTCTTGCGCAAAGCCGGCGTTGATTTGGGTCGTGTGCTTGACATCTGTTTCCCAGCATCCGATGTTATTGGCATCCTGGTGCATGTGCAATATGTTCAGGATTTTACTGCACTTTTGGAGGCTTGTGAGGCTGAATTCTTCTTCGACTTTGACCCTTTGGACCCTGCTAACATAGCTGATCCTAAGTATGACTCTTTGACTCTGGATCAACGTACTGCTTTGATCATGGAATTTACTGCTGCTCGGTGTCTGCAAACCTTAGCTTTCCTACGTCCTCTGAATGTCAGTGGTGTTGGTAAGTACTTTGTTGAGCAAGGCTGGATTTGTGACGAAGACCTTTCTGTTTCTGTTGGTGATGCCATTCAACGCTTTGCAAAGAAGGAACCCAAGAGGGCTAACTTCTTGTTCCGTCGCAAGATTAATGCTGACTCTGCCAATGAAGATTCTGCTATGGAACAATAATGTGTTCCACCACTGAGTCCTCGATACTGTATACCCAAAATGATAACCCTGTCCACTCCTTATTTGTCTCTCTCTCTCTTTGGAATGCCAATGGTCTTCGCCAATCAACAGTCCATGATGTTCTCTCTCATGTACTGGATACTCAGGTTCTGCTGGTTACTGAAACTTGGCTTACATCTGGCTCTTTTCCAACAAACTGGTCTCAATTCCATCTCTATGGTTCAAAAGTACCTGGTGCTTTCAATCGTGGTTCTGGTGGTATCACTGCTTTTGTCTCTCCTTCCTGTCCTTACTCTGTCTATCAACTCCCATCCTATAATCCGCATACTTTGTCCCTTAAGGTTGGCTCCCTTACGGTCCATTGTGTATACTTACCTCCACCCTTATCATCTGATAAGGTGCTCTCGGCCCTTAGTTCATTACCTATGACTAGGGATACTATTCTATGTGGCGATTTCAATGCTCGGTTGGGTTCTCTCACTGGTGATGCTATCTCTAATGCTCGTGGTAATGCTCTCAAACCTTGGTTTGATGAACACTGCTTGTCTGTACTCAATGTGTCTTTGGCTTTTGGTGTTACGACGTACTCTTCTTTTCGG